GTTGCACATTTTGACACCTGGTGGCGCGAAAAGTATTCATTGGACAATGAGTGTGATGCTAAATGCGTACTAAACACCAAATGTTGTCTTAGATTACAAAGTTAGAGTTCTACTCCTATCAGAAATGTGAGTTTAAAGCATCCAAAACCCTGAAAAACATTACTGAATTTATGATACGTTTGAGTACCCTAATTTCAAATGGCTATATCTAAGCGAGTTTTCGACCTAGAGAGGTAAAAGTTTGGATTTGTTAGTTTAATGTCATATACTATAACATATTGTTATGACAAGTAACAATGTTACAAACCAACCAAAGGCATCCTAGTTAGCAAAATTATGGACACTATCACTTCAATCTAAACGATCACTTGTCAAACCTCTGTACAACCCCAGTAAGCAAACTACCGACCCCGGTAACAAATTCGCAAACCCCGCCAACCCTGGTATCCCTGCCAATTAGTAACCATGGAAAACACTCCGGGGTTTCGGAATAGTATATATAAAAAGCCTGCCACGTGAGTCCAATCAGTCTGAAGACTTCAATACGAACGAAACTAGTCTCTGACACTCGGGATAACAGGTCTTCATAGAATGTTTGCAATGACAAAGATGCTGGTGGGAAAATCTTGTTGTAGCAAATTTTTCAACACCGCCTCTAATCTGCATATTCAGCAGATTCATAGACTGACTCAGTGATGGGATTTCGCCTGTATATTTCGAAACATGTCCGTCGCTATTTTCCAAACGTCCTATATTGTTTGACCAGGAATATGCCCAAGCGGACAATAAGATTCAAAATTCCAAAATTAATATAGTGTACTGAGTGAATAACTACATCTCAACCTGATTATCGTTGATAATAGGCTGGATTGATCAGGTAATTAAGTGATCAACGTATTTATCGTGTTATACCATCTATACACCTACCTTGATTAACTATTTAATCTGCCATGATTGACTGACTTAATCCTTTGTTGGACAATTTATCAATCTAATCCTGAACAGAATCCATTGCTTCTCCTTTGTCGGACTATATATCAATCCAATAAGAGTGACTAGAACTGCAATGCAGTAATGACGGGTTTAACCAGTGCCACGTTATCTATGAACTGACGTCACTTCCTGTACCAATGGAAACATTAAACAGATTTCCATGTGAGCATTGGACACGTGTTATAAAATGGACGCAGAATAAGCCAATAAATCCAGCAGTATCAGTTCCATTTACAAAATGAAGACTCGACACAAGGACATTACTTCCGTTATCCACAAAATATTTAAATTGGCTTACAGAAATAACCACTTCAATTGTCCTTTGCATGGCAGAAAATTGATTAACATTTGAACAGTATTAACCCTTTATAAAGCCTTATTAAAATGCAAAAAATCTTAAAAAGTGATACTGACAAAGTTGGTTATATCTAGGCACGAGAAGATGTTAGAAACACTTTTTTGATATCTATATGATGATATTGATTCATACATACTATTTGTCCATTGAAACCAAATATAATTTAATACGAATAATTACTTTCGGTGATAATGAAAAGTGACTCATACACAATTGCCTATTCCTCGGCAACTGCTAATATTACAAACTAATTTTGACATACATTGTCTTCGTATGGATTAATACTACAGGTTTATGAAAGTTGTCAAGAAATATTTTAAAATATGAAAAACCTGAATGCATTGTAAATAGCTTTTTTTTACGCCTTTTTTTCACCTTTAAATCAAAATAGCCCAAATACAAAACCGAAATAAATTAAACTAAGCCTGACATGTTTTGCGCCTTTAGTAGAAGCATTCATCTTGATCTATTAGATTTGTAAAAATCAATATTTGCTTTTGAGAAGACTTTTCGACACGTCAAAATTGAAGTTTTCGGGCAAAATTACGTCACTTCTGGTGCTGACAGAAAACTTTATCGATATATGAAAGTTGAGAATTTGCACCACAGAACATATGAGCTTTTCTTTTATACAAATCAGGCACTAAATAATTAACCTAAAACCCATAAACTGAAATTAAAATGACAAAATTGGTTATTTCTCGGCAAGGGAAGATGTTAGAAACACATTTTTGATATCTATTTGATCGTATTGATTCATTCTATTTGTCCAATAGAATCGAACATCCAGCTTTTATATGAAAAATGAATATTGCTCACTTCAAAATAATATTTGTTTTGGAGGCTAAAAATAAAAGTTTTTGCCAAAATGACATTACTTCTAGTGATAATGAAAATGTCAAATTTAGTTTATAAAATCATAAATTGCATTATGCATCACATGCTAAAATTTTTATGAAAATCGTATAAAAATTGACACTTTTATGGACCCAAATCTTGAAAAGTGACTTGTAGCAAAGTTGAACAAGTTCGAACAAAATTTTGTGATATCTATATGACCGTATTCTTTTTATTTATCTGTTGATTTAAACTGAAAATTAAAATTTTCAAAACGTACTAAGTAATTATCAGTTGAAAAAAATATCGATTTTAAATTTTAACAATACAGTTTTTGATAAAATGGCGCCACTTCCGGTGTCAATTTAGAATTGTAATCAATTTGATATAAAACACATTTGTTTTATGCATCAAGTGGTGTCACTTTTATGAAAATCCAATAATAATCGACTCTTTTACTGGCAAAATAACATGAAAAGTAACTCATGCAAAATTGCGTATTTCTCTGCAACTACTCATATTACAAACTAATTTTAACATATATTGTCTTGTATGGATTAATGCTACAAGGTTATGAAAGTTATGAAAAAATGTTTTAAATATGAAGACACTGACTGGATTTTAAATAGCTTAACTTTACACCTTTTTTCACCTTTTAAAGGAGCTAAATCACAAATTGACACAAATTGGTCGCAACGCCTATAAAGATGTAATGTGAATGTATATAAACTGATTTACATTCAACCATTTCTGTTTTTACTGTAATTTCTAATCAGTTAATTGAATGGCAATCTTTAGCGTCTGGTTATTCTGGTCTAAACCGATGATATTTATTGCGCATGCTCTCCAGATAAGAATATAGCGTCACCATTTCACATGACTTGTGGAATATGTCTAGCTGCGTTCTTTGAGTCCCTTGTTCCAAATGGCGCTGAAACGCATTATGGTACACAATTCGTGTACCAATGGTAAAATGTTTAATTTGTCTTGAATATTGGATATCAGAAGCAGATCTTTTCCCTGTAAGATCACAAGACCAATGTTGATTTGAATTGACAAATAATTTGTGTTTTCAATGTCGAATATTTTTGATGATATTGAGTTAGAGACTTAGCTACTTTAATCGAAATTGCCCGAAAATGAAATTGAAATTAAAAAATCTGAGCTCAGATCATATCAGATTTTGAAAAAAATAATATTTGCTTTCAAAAAGTGGTACCGAACTGTCCAAATTGTAGTTTTTGGTAAACCTACGTCACTTCTGGTGCCGACAATAAACTCTATGGGTAACAAAAAAAATGACAATTGAGACCACGTAGCACATGAACTTTGTTTTATACAAATCGAACAATAAATAATAAATCTAGGACCGAAAAACTAAATTAGTCAATGGCGGCTAACACAAATTACTGAGACAATTTTTTTTCACATTTTTGCTCAAGTAAGATGACTCTTTAATCCTGTGTAAAATACCATCCAAAAATATTCATAAATAGAAAAGTTTTTTGTAAAAATTTAAATTTTCTAAATTTGGCGCCTAATATATACGAAGATTTGGCTATGCCAAAGTGTATTGAAAGTTAAACTCCAATGATTATTGTTAAAATTAAGGCAATATTTCGGACATTTCGCATTGTCGCAGAAGGTTCAAAATAGCTTGATCCTCTAAGTCACACCCACTTTCACAGTGAAACCGAAAGACTTTGTAACGATGCGACAAGCAGTTGCTAAGATAAAATGATATTCTGAATAAAAACAATTGTGTTTCACACAAGCTACACAGTGTGAAACCCTAATTATAAACTTAATCCACGTGATTAACCTGTGATTTCTCCATTGTCTGTGATATTCCTTCGGTGGAAGCCAAAGTTAAATAAAGCTATTTCACACACATACATATCCGATAAATACTAGATAATGCAAGCTCTGTTTCTGATCGCACATGGTGGTTATAGTACAATAACTAAAATGAAAGTAGAATTCTCGCGAGACACGTGAAATTAAGAGATGTAAACATGCCACATCACACACATCTAATGTTGGAGAAAAGATTCTATTTTGATGCCATATTCTCGGATTTATGATCATATTTTGAATGGGGTTTATGTTTTTAAATAAATAAATAAATAAATAGGCTAAGAAATGTTGATGAATGTTTCGATTGGAATAGTGTAAGTAGTTAATTGTTTTAGACGATAGGGGGTACTAGAGTCGATTGCAATTATTGAGCAGATGTTACTCGCTCGTTGTTGTAGAGGAACGGTTACTGCAAAATAAATTTTGGGATGTCATTTTTTTTTTAACCTCTGTATGTAAGTATAAGACGAATGCTGGACTTCCGCTGAAAAATGTATCGACTTATACCCTGAAAAATACAGTAATTTTGGAGGTTTTTGAAACAGGTACGGTTCAGCACGCTTCCATTCTATCGTATTACGACAATAAGTAATTTTGTAGGAATATTTCTGACTTAAATCTGAATACCGTACGGGAATCAAATATGAAAGAATAAAGAGGTGCACCTATTTTTTTATTACGTATGAATTTGAATGTTTTGTTGACACATGATTTTTAATTGTGGTCTAAAACCGCATGCTTAAATAAGGGTAAGAGTTATGCCCTTTTATTTTCGGGGAAAAATGTCTGACAAGAAAAATTTTGAAATCCCATCACTGGATTGACCTCTGAATAATTATCACTCAAAGTATAAACTAATATATTACAACTTTAAGCATAAACTTTGTAGTTTAATAACCATCCAAAGATTGTAATTAATGCTGACCTACATGTTAGAAAGAAATGTTTACAATACCCTTTAAAAACATCATTTAATTGTTTTGAATATCTCTTTGGCAAGTCTGGAGGCACCCCCTCAACTATTTTGTACATTATTGCCATCAGACCCTGTCCATCAAATGCATGTTCCAAGGCACACATTTCATATAATATACAACCAACAGACCTTTAATATATAATAGCAATAACAAAGAATTACAAAAAAATCAAATATGAAGCAGATTATTAGTAGAGGAAAATACTAGGAAATACAATTTCAACACTTGTTTTGAAAATATTTTCTATATATGGAGAAAATCTGCCAAACAAGATAGTGTTGGGAAACCTTATCAAAACTTTTGGTATGTCTAAAATCGAGCAAACAGGCAAATAACAAGTAGTCAAGCATCTTGCAAAGACCCCCGCACATGAGTTGAATTTACTAAATCCCCAATTAACCATTATACTACAGACTGGATTGATTTTATGGGATGCTATAGACTTTCTGTGTACATAGTAATGTTTGTATGATTATTGTTCACAGTACATGTATATATATATATACTCTTAAAAAAAAGTAGGGATATTCAAATGAAATGAAATGAAACGGGGTTTAACATCCCACTGTTCTGCTCCTATACTGGGCTAATGAAGACGGGCATACGCCATACAGTGTGCTATGAGGGAAATTTTGCCCGGGCAGCGGCACTATCGCCTACTCTTATATCGAATTCCAACTGCCAAGGGATCTTTTACGTGCATTTCAATATATACACGGGACCTCGGTTTTTCGTCTCATCCAAAGGACTGGACAGCTGTCCTTGTCAGGCCCTCTGTCCTGCATCACTGACAAGGGGGAACCACGCCGGAAAATCTGGATGAACTTTCTTGGCCAATGCAGGGATCGAACACCCGACCTCCAGGCTAGCGAGCCAGCGACTTACCCACTTAGCCACGTGATCCCCAGGGATATTCAAATGCAAATACCTATGCAGGTTGCGGTATGATAAATAGTCATGGACATTTGACATGCTTTGAGAGTATGTTCACAGATGAAGAACTTATCGACCCATCAGAACCACTGAGCTGCACATGCGACACGCAATAGCGCCATACACGTGGGAGGGGTTCATTGTCAAATTTGACACTTCAAGGAAGGGTTGGTGACTGCCGCGTGCTGTTTTATCTATCCATGTTTGCTTTCCTATCGGTTCTTGCATAAGATTTACTATTTAGCGTATCTTTGCTTTAGTGTGTTACGTTTAATTTGATCGGGAGACGTGTTCGTCGACGTCAACGTCAACTGACAACACTGCAAGAATTGGCCGTGGCATTGCAAGGGGAGTGGGTCAGATTGCCCCAAATCGTGATTGGATGGTTGATTAGGAAGATGCCACGATGAATTGCTGAATGTCTGAGGATTGGTGGAGCAATTACTTATTATTAATACAAAAATCAAAAACGTCCATTTTCACTTTTGACAGTGTATATCTTTGCGAGTGAAATGGGACCGTCAGATAAGCCGCCCACATGAACTGTTTATGTTCATGTGTAGGCAATTGGCCTGTTATTAACATACACTGGTTACCTCTAATAAAAACAGCAGTGCATTTCCGCAGTTTTGTATTGTTTCTGAATATCCCCTACTTTTTTTAAGAGTATATTTATACCTTATATGTTCTTCTTTGAATCTTTGTAAGTGTACTTATTTTTTTTCCACAATCAGGAATCTTTATTATAATCATTTTTTACTCAATTTCAAGTTTAATATTCGACAAAAAAATGAAGAATATTCAAGAGAGAGAGAGAGAGAGAGAGAGAGAGAGAGAGAGATGGGGTTTCACGTCCACTCAACACAAACTAGGTCATTTCGAGACTAACATATGGTTTAATTTTATTTCAATAATTCGCTTGCGCATAGGGGTCTTAAGCAGTGGGAGGAAACCGGAGGACACCCACGAGGTTGGACAGGCGACGCTACTCCTTGTCACGTTCAACCAGGGATTCGAAACCACGCCAGTAGACTCAATGACGGCCTTATGATACAGAAGAATATTCAAACAGTCAAACATAAACTAAATGGGCTTACCATATATCTGACTTGGAATTATAGCCCTCATGTTTTAAAACTTCAGGACTCATGTAAAATGGTGTTCCAGTGAAAGTAGAAGCATAATCAGAAGCACTCATCAGTATTCGAGATATACCAAAATCACCGATTTTTACTTTATTTTTTCGCAGAAATATGTTTCTGAAAAATAAAAATAAGTTTTAATAATATTTCACAGTATTCTGCAAGGTTCTTACTAAATGCATTCATAATTCAATACAATCTTTATTACCTATGTTTTGGGGATCACAAATAGATCATTGGTTGAAAAATAGAATACAGAGGCTAGTGCAAAAACTAAACCCTGTAATATGTTTCAGTCAGTGTTAAATAATTAAGTTCCATAATACTAAATTACATCAATTGGAACTAGAGCATTGCTAACCCATTCCTGCTTTCATTGATATGGTACTTTTCAAAATGAAGTGAATGAAATATGAACTAGCTGCAATGACTGTAATATGACAAGAGGCAAAGAAGGCTAGGCTTGGGTTTATTTTGCAAAATTTAGAGACTAAAATATTAACAACCAGCGGCTGCCAGGCAGAATACGCCCACATTTTCGAGAGATGGATAGAGAACAAGCTAAAAAGAAAGTGATTTTTCCTACAATCAACGGCCATAATTAAGGAAATTACAATTTGATATGCGCAAATATCGAAAGGAACTGAAATCTTTGGGTTATAAACTTACATTTCAAGTTTCAACAAAATCGGATAAAAATTGTGACCTCTATAGGGTCCACAACCTTGATATACCATATTTTTTTTGAAATCGGATAAATATTATGACCTCTATAGGGTCCACAAGCTAAAAACGCGATTTTTCGTACAATCAAGGACCATAATTCAGGAAGTTACGGTCCGATATCCGCGAATATCGAAAGAAACCGAGATCTTTGGGTTATAAACTTACATTAAAAGTTTCATCAAAATCGGATAAAAATTGTGACCAATATTGGGTCCACAACCTTGAAATACCCAATTTTTACGCTATTTAAGAACGAAGGGCAGCCATTTTGTCTGTCAATTTTGGGCCGATTTTCACGAAATTCAAAATCAGTTGTCCTTAGGGTGTAACGGTGATATAATTATACGTTTTTTTAAATCGGATAAAAATTATGACCTCTATAGGGTCCACAAGCTAAAAACACGATTTTTCGTACAATCAGGGGCCATAATTCAGGAAGTTACGGTCCGATATGCGCGAATATCGAAAGGAACCGAGATCTTTGGGTTATAAACATACATTTCAAGTTTCAACAAAATCGGATAAAAATTGTGACCTCTATAGGGTCCACAAGCCAAAAACGTGATTTTTCGTACAAACAGGGGCCATAATCCATGAAGTTTCGATCAGATACATGCCAATATCGAAAGCAGCCAAGATCTTTTGGAGATACACCTATATTTCAAGTTTCGTTAAAATCGGATAAGAATTGTGACCTGTAGAGTGTCCACAAACAAATTGTTGACGGACGGACGGACGGACAGGGGCGACGGCATAATACGTCCACATGAAAATGTGGGCGTATAAAAAGTGAGTGGGACACCGTCACAGGGGGTCGGGGCATGCACCAAAATCCATTCAGAATTGCAGCCTGTAGATGATAAATACAAAAAATGGGCATCGCTCTGCCCCTGGGGGTTGGATTTGGAACAATATAAATAGGTACCACCCTGTTATTGAAATGATTGATATGCTGAATTTGAACAAAATCTGTTAATTATAGCAACCTGTAGGGTATTTACAGACAAAAAATTAACAAACCAGCTGCTGCCAGGCATGATACGCCCACATTTTGCAAGAGATGGACAGAGAACAAGCTAAAAACAAACAGGATTTTTTGTACAATCAGGGGCAATAATCCAGAAAGTCATGGTCTGAAATCCCCAAATATCAAAAGGGACTGAGATCTTGGGGATATAAAGATATGTTTTAAGTTTCATCAAAATAGGATAAAAATTATGACTTCTAGAGGGTCCACAACCTTCATATTGCACACTTTTACACAATTTGCGTACAAAGAGCGGCCATTTGGTCCGGCAGTTTCATTTCGATTTTCCTGAAATTCGAATTCAACCTTCATTATGGTGGAATGGTGATATATTTAAACGGTTTTTAAAATCGAAAATAAAAATTGTGACCTCTAGAGAATCTGCAAGCTAAAAATGCGATTTTTCGAACAATCAGGAGCCATTATCCAAGAAGTTACTTTCGGATATGCACGATTATCAAAAGGAACCAAGATCTTAGTGTGAAATGGTGATATATTCCACAAGCTAAAAACATGACTTTTTGTACAATCAAGGGCCATAATTCAGGAAGTTATGATTGATACGTGCGAATATCGAAAAGAACCAAGATTTTGGGTTATAAACGTGTATTTCAACTTTCATCAAAATCAGATCAAAATTGTGACCTCTAGAGGGTCCACAACCGGGATATACTACATGCTATACACTATTTGCGTAGAGGGCGGCCATTTGGTCCGGCAGTTTTGGTCTGATTTTCCCGAAATTCGAACTCAACAACCATCACGGTGTAACAGTGATATATTCGAACGTTTTTTTTAAAATCGGATAATAATTGTGATCTCTAGAGGGACCACAAGATAAAAACGTGATTTTTCATACAAGCAGGGGCCATAATCCAGGAAGTTAAGATCCGATATTAGCGTATATCAAAAGGAACCAAGATCTTTGGGTTATAACCTTACATTTCAAGTTTCATGAAAATCAGAAGAAAATTGTGACCTCTAGAGGGTCCAAATATTTTTATGCTATTTGAGAATGAAGGGCGGCCATTTTGTCTATCAGTTTTGGGCAAATTTTCACCTTGACATACATTTACCATATGTTTACACTATTTGCGTAAAATGGCGGCCATTTGGTCCGGCAGTTTTGGCTCGATTTTCACGAAATTTGAATTCAACAATTGGATAATAATTGTGACCTCTAGAGGGATTTCAAGCTAAAAACACGATTTTTCGTACAATCAGGGGCCATAATTCAGGAAGTCTTTGGGTTATAAACTTACATTGCAAGTTTCATCAAAATCAGAAGAAAATTGTGACCTCTAGAGGGTCCACAACCTTGATATACCATATTTTTATGCTATTTGAGAACGAGGGGCGGCCATATATTTTGTCTATCAGTTTTGGGCAAATTTTCACGAAATTCAAATTTTCACCATCCTTAGGGTGTAACGGTGATATACTACAACATTTTTTTAAATTGGATAAAAATTATGACCTCTATAGGGTCCACTAGCTAAAAACGCGATTTTTCGTACAATCAGGGGCCATAATTCAGGAAGTTATGGTCCGATATGCGTGAATATCGACAGGAACCAAGATCTTTGGGTTATAAACTTATGTTTCAAGTTTTTTTTTTAAATTGGATAAAAATTGTGACCTCTATAGGGTCCACAAGCTAAAAACGCGATTTTTCATACAATCAGAGGCCATAATCCATGAAAACTTAAGGTCCGATACAAGCCAATATCGAAAGGAACCAAGATCTTGGGGAGATAAACCTATATTTCAAGTTTCGTTGAAACCGGATAAAAATTGTGACCTGTAGTGTCCACAAACAATAGTGGACGGACGGACAGAGGCGATGACAATATACATCCACATGAAAATGTGGGTGTATAAAAATTGGACGTGGCTCTGCCCCTTGGGGTCGGGACATGCACCAATATATATAGGTACAACCCTATGTTGGATCATAGGCCCTTAGGCTATAAGGAATACATATGTCAAGTACCAAGCTGATCCATTCAGAATTGCGGCCTGTAAACGATAAACACAAAAATTAGTCGTGGCTCTGCCCTGGGGGAGTCCCAATCCCCAAAAACAATGGGGATCATATAAACGGTATAATGAATAGGTATGCAAAGTTTCAAGATGATTACTTAAGAATTGCGGCCTGTAGGCGACCCACAAACATACACACACACACACAGACAGGGGCGACGGCACAATATATCGACATTATGAATGTGGACGTATAATAAAATCATGAATCTTCATATAAGATCAGGTGAATCTCTGCGGATCATAAGCTTGTATGATACGGACATACTGTAAAACTTATGCATTTGGGCATCTCCACACAGAACCCAGCAAAGGCCAAACCAATTTGATTTTCTTTTCTTCGGAAACAACTGTAAAGATCTTATTTAAAAATCAAATTTTAAACGGAAGATCATTTCATGTGATTCAAATGGCTATTTATTTATCAAGACCCCGAAGAATTGAAAATCAAATTGTTGTGGGTCTAACAATCAACATAGTCCCCCTTCATTGTTGCCGTGAACGGGCACACTGGCAATTTTTTCAAGCGATTTTAAAACTTGTCTTAAGGATTTCTTGATTACTGTGTTAAATATACCAAACATATAATAAGCATACCTAGCTTTTAAATCCCGGTGTAGAACTCGCTGACTGTGCAAGTATTTTACAGCCAATACTAACTGAACAAACCAATTTAAAACAGTTGACTCATCCAGATGACTTTTTTTCTTCTTTACTTCTGTAATTTTTACATCTAGATCCCCTCCCTAAAAGAAATTGTTTTACACAGTTTTTTATATTACACAGTTTTTTATATATGTACTATACATTAAGCATAACATCATCTTTTAGTACGAGGGGTGATTGATAAGTAGTGAGTCTAACACAGAAAGAAACAAGAAATTCAAATCAAATGCACTTATTTTTCAACATAGTCCCCCTTCAATGTAATACACTTCTGCCATCGGTGTTGCAGAGCCTTTATTCCAGTTATGTAGTTTCAGTGATAATAGAATGAACTCTCTCCTGGCTAATACCAACTACCCCAGCTATGAATTGTTCAGTAACTCGCCGGTCATTCATTATCAGATCATGGATTTTTTTGTACCATTTCAGGTGTTGGCACAGTTTTTGGTCGACCAGGGCGTTGTTCGTCTTCAATGCTGTCTCGGCCATGCTTGAATTCAGCTGACCACCTTTTAATTGTGGCATATGAAGGAGCATCATCTCCTAATGTCACAACCATATCATCATGTATGGCTTTCGGTGTTAGACCCTTTTTATGCAGAGACTTAATCACAGCTCTCACCTCGATATGGTCCATTTTCTGATAACAACAGACCCTACTTGATTGTTATGACCTGTCACAATCAAACAGTTTAACCGAATTTGATGAAAGTTTGTGACAGAGCCCGAGGAACATAATAGTGCACAAGCAAAACGTGGTATCATTGTGTTGCACGATTTTCCAATCGAGGCTCACTACTTATCAATCACCCCTCATAACAGACATGCAGAGAGAGAGGGAGAATGTCATTAACTTCCACTCGATACAAAATAGTTCTTTTCAAGGATTAACATACGGTACAATTTTATTTCAAGTGGGAGGAAACCAGATAACCTGGAGAAAACCCAGGAGGTTGGGCAGGCGACCCTACTTCTGATCACGACTGACAACAGGTCCCTTGGTTCAATGAGTATAGCAGACCTTTAGATCTAGAGTGCCATCATATAAAACACTAAAGCTCCAACCATTTTCTGCCCGACTAATCCACCATAACTGATACAGATTCGATTGCACCATGGGTTCCATGTCCGCCGTATATGCCGGTCGGGACAGAGGGCTTTTGACAATGACCGAAATGGGATCAGACCCGTAGACCATTTTGCACACCGGAAAGTAACATATTTTGTGCTAAATTATAAAATCCCCTGACACAACAAAACACTGTGCGTGTCGTGATGCAAACTGTCGGGTATAACACACAGTGTTCAGTAGTCCACGAATGGAAACCACAGCCAGTTAATTATCCTTTTGTAAATTGCTCTAATTACAATCAACAGAGGATCAACATCAAACATTTTAAAAGTGTAACATTTAATAAATTCAATCAGCCGTGTTTTGTTTTATAATTAGGCCTAGTACTGTATGATCATTCTTAAAAACCGAGTTGTTGTTACAGCATATTTGATGACTTTCATCGCTCGTGCAGCCATATTTACTGTAAAAGCTTTACTTTGATATATTCACTTGATAACTGAGTTAATCATCTGAATGATATATACATATATATATATATTTTTTTCCCCCGTGTATGGAGAAATAGACAAAATAGACAACAGTCTAAATGTCTCTTGTTATTGTTATATTTTATGAATGTATAAATAAATAAATAAATGACGATAAATGATTACACCTGTTCCTTTATTTATTACGGGGTATGGTTGGTATAAATGCCGATGTGACATTGAATTTTTGTGACTGTCCTTGACCGGCTGGGAAATTTTTGAAGTGGAAGCCATGGATTGCACATAGCTGTAATCTCTGTTATATTTCTCAATTGAGTACTGTTATTTAAGAAATTAGACAAAATACCATTAAATGACATACCTCACAATATTCAGTAATTATACAGAAATATTCCCCACCAGTGTCAACAAAACTATCAAAGTATTTCACAATATTTGGATGTTTTAATCTGGAGAGTAATCGTGCTTCATGGTTAGCATCAACTGTTTCGTCTGGCTGTAAATCACCAACATATATTTCTTTCACAACTTTACTGAAACATTCAAAAAGTTGGTTATCTCAATTTAAAATGTATCAAAATTAAAATATTTACTTTGGAGATCACAGCTGATCATGCAATGACAAACCATGTTTCAGTCAATTTATTTTATGATTTATATCTAGGCATTTTTATTTGACAATGTTCAAACTTTGATGTCCATACACAAGTTCTTTAGAGGAACAACTCATCATATGTTATACTCCATTCTTTGTGGTTTTATCTGCCAATTTTCATAAATATTCATAGGTATAGAGGCGAAGTGATGTATCATCAATTATTTTGATTTTGCGAATTTGATGATTCCTGGGAATTTGATGTCGCAGAATTCAAATTTGCCATAGAAAAGGCCGAAAAATATCTGCTTTCATGAGACATGGGGTATCACCTCTGCTTAGTACCAATTTTTATGACTGACGAAATGACGAATGATGATTACTGCGACGTCTTCGTCAATATAACCCTTAGTCAAGTACCATACAAAAAGTGTAAGTTCTGATAGAATTTTGTGGGATTCTATAGAAAGAAAAGGAAGAAAAAAAATTCATTCTGAAGATTGGTTTGCAATACTACAGTTTTGCATAGGAAATGTTATTGGGTTTTATCAAAGTGTAATAAAAAAATTAACCTGTAGATTCATTGGTGCCACTGTAGAATGGGTGGTAAAAACTATAGTTTTCTATATACATGTAACTAACTTGTGTCCTCAAGTCAGTTGTGAAATCCTATAGTTTTCTGTGGTATTCTATAGAAAACTGTGGAGAAACATATTATACCACATGAGCATTATTTAGTTTTCTATGATACTCTAAAGAAAACTATGGAGAAACATATAACAGAGGAACATTCTATAGTTTTCTGTATTAGACTAATTCCACAAATACAATATAACAGAGTCTGAGCATTCTATAGTTTTCTGTATAATTTAGACTAATTCAACAAATACAATAGTTTCCTGCAAAATAATGTAGGAAACATTCTATCGTATAACATATTATTAATATGAGCCTTCTACAGTTTTCTATGCTATTCTATAGAAAACTATGGAGAAACATATAACAGAGGAGCATTCTATAGTTTTCTATATAATCTAAATTCAACAAATACTATATAATTTCCTGAAAATGTGTAGGAAACATATTCTATGATACATATTTCATTATTTGGAGATCTTTCTTTTATTTATGTTATACATGTAGTTTACTATAGAATTTAGTGAAGCACTATTAATTGGATTCTGTAGAAATGGTATAGTTTCCGGAAGAATTCTCCTGGATGCTATATGGTTCAATATTAGTTTTCCCTAATTTAGTTTCATACCAAATGACATCAGGCGCTCCAAAGTCGGGTACACTAGCTACAAGAACGTAACTAAAAACACTGAGATATACTGATGTGCTTGTTTTTAGCTACGATTGGATGCCTTTAGTTCCAAGTGGCAAACTCAATTTCTTTATTAAGGCATGTACCATCTTAAAAATATGTTAATTTTATACTATTAGTACTTATTACACATATGCAGTCTAATCTACTAAAACAACATTCATTTATCAGCAAATATTGACAATAAAGTAAATCAAGTGATGTTTTTATCAAAATTGATTCGGACGTTCATAATTACGGCGTATTACTACTGCGCAACTCTGATCAGATTAGTACTTTGATTGGCTATTGCACATGAGGCCTGCCTTTATGTGTTACAGGCGTAAATTTAAAATGTCGGAAAAAGCAATCTACTGTCGCTTTGATTTAAAAAGAGGGGATTTGTACCCGTTTCAGGTAGGATTATATGCTTAATTGTACTCGGTGTAGCAGAAATATTATAAATAACAATAATGAATCGTTGTTTTGATTAAAAATATTGTCACTTTTGTTTACAAATTCCGGGTGCCAATCGCTCCCGCATGTGCTACATTGATGTCAAATGGCACCATTTCATATCTCGAAACACAGAGGGTGGAGAGATAAGGTTTGTTATCTATAATACACAACTGACGTATCGTCATCGCTCAAAATTAACAAGGCCATAGGACAGGTTTAAGGGGGAGTTTTTCACTTGCTGGGGTAATATGTCATGCATCTGACCTCGAACTACATGTAGGCTTTGTGTCTGGAGCTGACAAAAACATCAGATATTTCAAACGCTGATTTCTACACAGCGATGTATTATTCAATTAATTATGTAATGTCAATTTTATATATGTAAATATAATATTATGATATAAATTATGAAATAAAAATTAAAATTATGTAACAATTATAACATACTCCTCTTCAGTATTTTGTCGATCTTTGCAGACAAATACAGTTCCAAAATTCCCACTTCCTAGTTTCTTCACAACTTCGTATCTGTTAGCTAATATCTTAGCTTCTTTGGTGTCATTATTCGTATTTGGTCGCCTAAGAGGCATAGCCGCAAAGTTAATATGATCTTAATCAAACCGAAACGACAGGATCGGTCAGGTGAGACAAAGGTAAAATTAATCTAGTCAGCGTTTCCTTGTTTGGCTTTGTCTCCTTTGTACTGTTCCTTGCGCATCAAAATAAACAATATAATTACTATAGACGATACTAGTATAAGCCCAATATACGCTCTGGTCACTTCTAATTTTGATATTTATATTGCGCGGTTTCTAATTACGCCCAACTATTATTTTCGACTGTTCCATCAGAAAGTAATACTGTTTATAGTTAGACAGTTGATCCTCAGATCAATTATCGTTATCCGTAATCTTTGCGAGCTGAACGGACATGTTGGCGTCTTTCGTTACGGAGTCGACAGTTTCTTGTGTTATTGACGTAAAATGACATGAGTTCATAATATTGGAGTCTTGTGCATTTGTAAATGTATTTCTTATTAAAGATCATAACATTGTTTGGTTTATTTCAATGACAGAAAGAAAATGTTAAAAATAAGTTATATTTCACATTATTACTTTGTACAATAAGATTTACGACATTGTATCAAATTTCAGTTACTCGGTTATCAGGTCTTTCGGTTTTCACAAACTCAACAGTTTATTTTAATCTGGATAACAAAATACCGTCTGCTCGACTTACTTTAAGATGAACATTAATACAATAATACGACACAAATTATTAATATGGCGTTATGCGCTAACTTATGCGAATTTCTAACCCGTCTTCTAGGGGCTATAATACATTATTATCTTTCCCATCTTATTACAACTTTCAGTGCTAATATTTAGCCTTTTCTTTAAAAATGTCAATTTATGGGACTATGGTATATGCTATATTAACTATATATTGTTTAGGCCTTCTGTCCATTTTTAAATATTTACAAAACATAAAATCCCAAATAAAGATATGATATTTATAGAGAGGGGTCGACGTATAAAGATATTCTTATGCTTTTATTCACAATTTACTTTGACATTTTATGTGAATCCCGACTCGCATGCAAATAATTGCTCTCAATCAGATCACGTGATACGGTTTTCGCCGGATAAAGGTCAATATGGCCGCTGCTATGACTCGAACTGGAGCAGTTGAGGTTTATATTAGACAACAGTGGTACAAAGTAAATCTTACTTTGAGCGAAGAATCATTGTTGTTGAGCTTAGTAGAAAACACGGAACAACCGTCTGCAGTTAACGGCAATGGTGAGCATCGAGCAGGAATAGTAAATGGATACCCAGACTTGCCAGACAGCATCGCTGGCCAAAAGCGAGTTGTCAAAGTGATGAAAGAAGAACAGAATGGGTTAGGAGTTAGCATCAAGGGTGGCAAAGAAAACAAAATGCCGATATTGATCAGTAAAATATTTAAAGGGATGGCGGCTGATAAAACTGAAAAGTTATATGTTGGTGATGCAATATTGAGTGTAAATGGAGAAGACTTGAGAGAGGCAACCCATGATGAAGCTGTTAGAGCACTTAAAAAAGCTGGAAAAGTTGTTGAATTGGAAGGTATATACACATGTTTATAAACATAAATGCAAACAGTAACAGCCATATACATGTAGTAATATAATAGAGTTATATAGACCTTCATATTCTTCAGTAAGTTGGTTGGTAGTATGGAATTCAATAATACAAAATATTACACATTTATAAGTATGCAGTGTACCCGATTTGGTTTATCCAATTCCTAGTCAATCATGTAATACACACAATGTCTTATGAAATATTGTGTGCAGTAATTATGCAGCAATACTATATACCGGAAAACAACCGGAGCCTGGTCCTCTGTGGGCGGGGGGGTTAGGGTTAGGTTTTTCAGGTGTTTTCCAGAGGACCAGGCTCTGGGTTACCTATTAAGGGTGTTTTACGGAATTTAGTGTGTTTTCCGGTATTTAGTGGTTTTCCGGTATTTAGTATAACATGGTGTTTTCTGGTAGTTTTCTGGTAGTTTTCCTGTATATAGTATAGCCCATAATTATGAGTTATGGTGTATTGACATTAAACCCATGCATATTAATAATAGGTATTATTCTATATCCACTTTTATAACATTTATAAAAATAATTTAAAAAAAAAGAAGATTGAACACTAACAGAAAATAATTTAAAAAAAAAAAATACAATTCTCTATATCTACAATTGAATGTAGTTTTAATGTTGTAGGCCTTTAAAAGATACCTTCCCACGCATGGCCGCAGATCTTATTAAATTTAAGGGGGGGACGGAGTTGGCGGGGGGGAGCCCGACACACTGCTAACACCGCAGGCGCAAACCCTTCTGCGGGGGGTCTGGGGGTCCTCCCCCATAAAATTTTGAAAGCAGGATGCCTGAAAACGCTATCTGAGACCATTTCTGAGCATTCTGCAGAGATGAACGTACCGAGAATAAAAACGAGAATAATCAATACGAATACGGTAAAAAGTAGTTATGAGGGCTTAGTAGAGTGCAGGCGGACTGGTTATATTACAAAAGTTAAAAATATTTATTATTAAACTTTAAAAATATAAACAGTAAACCACAGATGATATGGACTTATTAATCAAAGAAGTCCTCGCAATATAGGGATAAGGTAGGCTAATAAATAGCCGGTCACGAATGAAAATGTGATGAATAATTTCTCCAGTGGCCAGCTCTGAGCATAAGCTGCTGAGGTCATGAAGAGATCATTCTCAGATCCGGGTTACATCAAAGACCGGGCATTTTTGAACCAAGGGGAAATATCCTCGCGCATTTAGAGGGGGTCTTGGTGCCTCCCCCGGAAGATTTTTTAAAATTAGGATGCCTCAAAATGCTATCTGAGACCATTTCTGGGCATTGTACATCAGCATGTTCGGAAATATAGACTACATTTCCCGGGCTGAAAAAAAGACTTTTGAAATTTTACGATGCATTTTTCTGGGGGGGACGAGGCATATGAAATCCTCCCCATTGAAAATCCAGGGGGGGACGCGTCCCCCCCATCCCCCCGGGATCTGCGGCCTTATTCCCACGTACAAACTGGGTGGTTTGATGATATTTGGACTAAAAACATATGCAAACTAATTAATCTATAAAAGTTTTGCTTCAAATCCTTCTTAATACATTGTATTTGCGAGGAAATCTGCCAAGCTATAAAAAATATATTAAAAGAATTAATGTTTGTGTCACTGACTTGGATGTCACGGTACATAGGAACGGGTGCAAAGCCGGAGGAGAATTCATTGCATAGAGACGATGTTATCTTTATTTGCTGTCCATTTATCATAAATATCGAGACCTAATTAAATTCTCAGATTATCCACTGCCCACTTCTTTTTCCGGGGTTTTTATCTCAGAAACTGTGTTGTATGTTTAAGTCTCTCACTTTTACCTAGTTCGCTCACCATCAAGTTTTATCAACATAGATTAAGTGCTCCCTAACACTGAGAGATCAGACAATCTTGTTGTGCAACCTTTGACGTCACCTGAACAGACAGCCCTTTATCGTCAGACTGCCAATTAGTGACACCCTCTCATTTTTTGTCCTGGGTGTTTTTCATGGAATCCAGTATTTTTCTAGAAAGATTTGGTGTCTCCACTTTCCGTATATACGAAAATTGTAATACTTTTAGTGGAAATGAGCACCCAATAAATACTTTTGTGGGAAAGTATCTTTAAATACAGTCCCTTTGAAAATATTGATATTTTGAATTTGATATTGAATACTTATTATTTAACGCTGATACTTTGTTTTATTTACTAGTGAAATATCTAAGGGAAGTTACTCCCTACTTTAGAAAGAGCTCACCATTGAATGATCTAGGCTGGGGTTCACAAGAAACCCCAAAAGAAGGATCTAAAACCAGTTTAACAGAATGCAAAACACTTCCACTAAAACTTTGTTACACTTGTCGTAATCTAACCATGACAGATCCAGAAAAGACAATTATTGAAATTCATGCTCCAGATGGAAAGAGTTCATGCATGATACGGTTCCCAGATTCTGCTACTTGTGGTGATTGGTTTAAAACAATTCATTCAACTGTTTCTATTCTAAATCAATCAGCAATTATTGAAGCAAATCAAATTATTTCTTTTATACCTAATCAAAAAGAAGTGCATCAGATGGGGTGGCTAGCTGAACAAGTAAGTATACAAATATTTTTATACACTCGCAATTAAAGGAATTAAAAACTCCTGATTTCTCAGTTCACAGCAGCTAAGTCATCCAAACAGTCCACAAAGTGCGTCATATATTTTTTCTTTGTTAGGTAATGGCAGTAATCATGAGACCAAGAGTAACAACCCTTGAAGTAATTATAAGAAATAACTAGAACTGCGATGCAGTAATGACGGGTTTCACCGGTGCCCCGTTACCCTTGAACATTGTCACTTCCGGTACCGATGAAACCATTAAACAGGTTTCCATTTAAGCATTGCACACATCACATAAAATGTACGCAGAATCAACCAAATCCGGCAATATCAATTCATTGTATACATTCATTACATGTAAGTGATCCTGACAACATTACATTACTTCCGGTGATAATGAAAATGTTAAATTAGTTTCATGAAATCAGAAATATGGTGAAAATTTTATGTAAATCGAATAATATTTGCCACGTTTATAGACCAAAATCCTTGAAAAGTGACTTGTAGAAAATCGTCTATTTCTCTGCAACCGTACAAGTTAAAAAACATTTTTTGGTATTTGTATGATCGTGTGGGTTCAATCTATTTGTTGATTGGAATCAAATATCATAATTTTAAAAACAAAACAAATCAGACTCATTTGAATAAAATATCTGTTTTGAAGGCTAAAAATACAGTTTTTGGCCACAATGACGTTACTTCCGGTAACAGTAAAAGTGTTAAATTACTTGTATGAAATTGTAAATGGCATTAGGTATCACACACGGGGAATTTTATGAAAATCGAATAATAATTGACACTTTTATGGACCAAAAACCTTGAAAAGTTACCTGTTGAAAATCGCTCTTTCTCCGCAACTGAACAAGTTAGAAACCATTTTGTGATATCTATATGATCGTTTGAGTTCATTCTATTAGTTGATTGGAATCAAATATCAAAATTTTAAACAAATAACAAATAAGACTCATTTGAATAAAATACTGGTTTTGAAGGTTATAAATACAATTTTTGCCCAAATTACGTCATTTCCGGTGACATTGAAAATGTTAAATTGGTTTGACCTTGTTAAAATTGACATTACGCATCAAATGGTGTCACTTTTATGAAAATCGAATAATAATTGACTCTTATACAGGCAAGCTAGCGTAAAAAGTGACTCATACAAAATTGCCCATTTCTCGGCAACGGTTCATATTACAAATTAATTTTCACATACATTCTCTTTGTATGGATTATTGCTACTAGTTTATGAAAGTTGCGAAGAAATATTTTAAAATATGAAAAGCCTGAATGGGTTGTGAATAGCTCATTTTTTCACCTTTTTATACGCCCACATTTTCAGGTGGACTCTCTACAGGTCACAATTCTTATCCGATTTCGACGAAACTTGAAATATAGGTTTATCCCCAAAAGATTTCGGCTGCTTTCGATATTGGCATGTATCGGATCGAAACTTCATGGATTATGGCCCCTGTTTGTACGAAAAATCACGTTTTTAGCTTGTGGACCCTATAGAGGTCACAATTTTTATCCGATTTTGTTGAAACTTGAAATGTAAGTTTATAACCCAAAGATCTCAGTTCCTTTCGATATTTGCGCATATCGGACCATAACTTCCTGAATTATGGCCCCTGATTGTACGAAAAATCACCGTTCGTTCCCAAATAGCGTAAGAATATGGTATATCAAGGTTGTGGACCCTATTGGGGTCACAATTTTTATCCGATTTTGTTGAAATTTGAAATGTAAGTTTATAACCCAAAGATCTCGGTTCCTTTTGATATTCGTGCATATCGGACCGTAACTTCCTGAATTATGGCCCCTGATTGTACGACAAATCACGTTTTTAGCTTGTGGACCCTATAGAAGTCATAATTTTTATCCGATTTAAAAAACGTTTTATTATATCACCGTTACACCCTAAGGACGACTGAGTTCGAATTTCGTGAAAATCGGCCCAAAATTGACAGACAAAATGGCCGCCATTCGTTCCCAAATAGCGTAAGAATATGGTATATCAAGGTTGTGGACCCTATAGGGGTCACAATTTTTATCCGATTTTGTTGAAACTTGAAATGTAAGTTTATAACCCAAAGATCTCGGTTCCTTTCGATATTCGTGCATATCGGACCGTAACTTCCTGAATTATGACCCCTGATTGTACGAAAAATCACATTTTTAGCTTGTGGACCCTATAGAAGTCATAATTTTTACCCGATTTAAAAAAACGTATTATTATATCACCGTTACACCCTAGGGACGACTAAATGGCCACCGTTCGTTCTCAAATAGCGTAAGAAAATGGTATATCAAGGTTGTGGACCCTATAGAGGTCACAATTTTTATCCAATTTTGTTGAAACTTGAAATGTAAGTCTATAACCCAAAGATCTCGGTTCCTTTGGATATTCGCGCATATCGGACCGTAATTTCCTGAATTATGGCCCCTGGTTGTACGAAAAATCGCGTTTTTAGCTTGTGTACCCTATAGAAGTCATAATTTTTATCCGATTTAAAAAAACGTATTATTATATCACCGTTACACCCTAAGGACGACTGAGTTTGAATTTCATGAAAATCGGCCCAAAACTGACAGACAAAATGGCCGCCGTTCATTCTCAAATAGCGTAAAAATATGGTATATCAAGGTTGTGGACCCTATAGAGGTCATAATTTTTATCCGATTTAAAAAACCGTATTATTATATTACCGTTCCACCCTAAGGACAGTTGAGTTTGAATTTTGTGAAAATCGCCCAAAAATTGACAGACAAAATTGCCGCCGTTCGTTCTCAAATAGCGTAAAAATATGGTATATCAAGGTTGTGGAACCTATAGAGGTCACAATTTTTATCCGATTTTGTTGAAACTTGAAATGTAAGTTCATAACACAAAGATCTCAGTTCCTTTCGATATATGCGCATATCGAATTGTAATTTCCTGAATTATGGCCCTTGATTGTAGGAAAAATCACTTTCTTGTTAGCTTGTTCTCTATCCATCTCTCGAAAATGTGGGCGTATCCTGCCTGGCAGCCGCTGGTTTCAACTTTAAATCGAAATGATCCGAAAACGAAATAAAAATTAAAATAACTGAGCGAGATGATTTCTGCGCATTAACAGGGCAAACCCTTTCAGTCATACCAGATTTGAAAAAAATAATATTTGCTTTCAAAAAGTGGTACCGAACTCTCAAAATTGCAGTTTTTGCTATATTTATGTTACTTCCCTTGCCGAAAGGAAAATGTACCGGTAACAAAAAAAATGACATTTTGGACCGCGGAACATATGAACTTTGTTTTATACAAATCGAACAATAAAAAATTAATCCAGGACTGAAAAACTGAATTAGCCAATGGGGGCCAAGGAAAAATACGGTGACAAAAAATGTTGACATTTTTTGTCAAATCAGATGACCCTTTAACCCTTGGTAAAATACGACATAAAAATATTCATTAATAAAAAAGTTTTTCGTAGAAATTTAAATTTTCAAAATTTGGTGCCTAATATCTCCGAAGATTCGTCGAAAATAAAAAATCCAAAGAACCTTAACTATGTGCCTTGTCTCTGGCTATGTCAAAATGTATCAAATATTACAATCCGACAATTACTGATAACATTACGGCAAAATATCGAAAAACGACAACTTCAGTGATTTCGGACATTTCGCATTGTCGCAGAACGTTGGAAATAGCTTTAAAATTTAAGTCAAACCCACTTTCCCAGTAAAACCGAAGACATCGAATCGATCCGACAAGTAGTTTTGCTCAAATGGAAAAATAATAATAATAATAATAAGAACTAGAACAGCGAAGCAGTAATGACGGGTTTCACCGGTGCCACGTTACCCTAAACATATGTCTCTTCCGGTACCAATGAAACCATTAAACAGGTTTCCACATAAGCATTGCACACATCAAATAAAATGGACGCCGAATCAACCAAATCCAGCAATATCAATTCATTTTATACATTTGTTACATGTAAGTGTACAGTACTTCTGGTGATAATGAAAATGTTCAATTAGTTTTATGAACTTTGTTTTATACAAATCGAGCAATAAATAATTAACCTAGAACCCATAAACTGAATTAGCCAATAGCGGTCAAGGTGAATTATCGATACAAAAATTTTTCATATTATTGCTCAAATTACATGACCCTTTAATTATAGGTGAAGCGCCATAAAAAAATATTAATAAATAAAAAAGTTTTTTGTCAAAATTTAAATTTTCAAAATTTGGCGCCTAATATCTTTGAAGATTAATCGAAAATCAAAAATCTAAACAATCGTAGCTATTTGCCGTGTCTCAGGCTATGTCAAAATGTATCAAATGTTAAAATCCGACAATTATTGTTAATATTACGGCAATATTTAAAAAAACGACAACTTCGGTGATTTCGGACATTTGGCATCTCTAAGTCACACCCAATTTTCCAGTAAAACCGAAGACATCGAGTTGATCCGACAAATAGTTTCTGAGATATGCTCAAGTGGAAAAAAAAAAATAATAATAATAAGAAGAACTAGAACTGCGACGCAGTAATGACAGGTTTCACTGATGCCACGTTACCCTTGAACTTGTGTCACTTCTGGTGCCTGGTTACCCTTGAACTTATGTCACATTCGGTACCAATGAAACCGTTAAACAGATATCCACATAAGCATTGCACACGTGTTATGAAATGGACGCAGAATCAACCAAATCCAACAATATCAATTCCATTTATACATTTGTTACCATGTGTTAGATATGTCAAAAAAGTGATCCTGACAAAATTTATTACTAATTTACCACTAAGTTAGCTGACTATCTAATGGAACTTAAAATGTGAGAAAATTCTTAAAAAGTGATCCTGACAAAATTGGTTATTTCTCAACAAAGAAAGATGGTAGAAACAATTTTTGGCCATCTATATGATCGTATTGATCCAATCTATATCTCCATTGAAATCAAATATCATATTGTTAAACGAATAATAAATATAACTCAGT